TAGTGACAACTCCTGTCATTGATTGCATCTCTGCGTGAATGATTAGATCATTTCACCTAAATGAAATCAAATGAAACATGTAGGCCTACTGAGTTCTGAACTTGCCATTTAGATCTATAAAGGCCTTGGGGCTATGTTGTTTGATTGAATTAAACACAATATATGCACTCCACTATGCTGTTGTAGTATTTACTGTATCTGAAGCTCTTAAATATAATTGCTCATATTTCAAGCCATCTTTTTCCCGGCCCCTTGCTTTGGATCATTTTCATCAACCGGCCCCCATTCCAAACTAATTGAATAGCCCTGCTCTAGATAAAATGCCGGCATGCTTGGTACTGCTGGCCTGTTATTTGGAGACGGGTTGACATTTTGAGCATAAGTACGACTGCAGACTGAATGGCTCCTAATGCCGGAAAGTATTATTAAGGTCACATTCTGGCTGTCTCCTGAGAGGCTGAGTAATGCCTTTCAGGAGGTTATAATGCATTTTTAAAGTAAACCCTTTTACCCTTCTGGTGAAGGGAAATGTCTTATCGTACCTGGTCCAGAGCGTTCTTCAAGGCGATCTTGCTGGTGATCAGTCTGTGAGCGAGGCTGTCGTTCTCCTGCTCCAGGCGGAGGCTCGTCTGCTGCAACACATAGTTCTCCTTCTGCAAAAACACAGGAAAATCCATCAGGGATAACCAGAATGTCGACTTTTTTATCACTGGAATGACTTTAATGTATCTGTTTATGGTGAGAGTGAAGGATTTCTGACCAGGTATTTGTCCAAAGGCTCTTCATCATCAATCAGTTGAAGCCGGCTCTCTTTCAGTTTGGCTTCCTTTGAGGGAACCTGAGGGGAGAGAGAAGAGGCTGATGAAATACAGCAAAGTCATATTTGAGTGAGCTGGAGAAAGCTATCTCCTTCAAACAGATCTGCTGTCGAATGCTAAGCGCGACAAATCGTGGAACAGGCCCCCAAAACAAAAAGAGATCAAGATAAGGATAAGTGCGAGTTAAGATAGAGCACATGGGGGAGGGATCATTTAGTAACATAAAGGAGTATTAGGAGGGGGAGATTTATTATGAGCCTGACAATTGACAATTTCCATATCTCAAATATCAAAAAAGAACAGACAGGCTTCATTTCCTTCTATCTACAATAACACATCTGTCATGCAGGGAAATGGGTTTTGTGTTACAGTGTATTGGATCTGTAAGAAATGTTATAAATGGTGGAGCAGCAGGGTGCATCATTTTTTTTAAATAGTCTTACTCTCATTTTGACTTTGAAAGTTCTTCATACTTACAAAAAGCAAATAAGTTTTGTATCTGCATTTTTTGTTTGTTGGTGAATTGCCTTAATGCCAAAGCGTGTCATTTGCCAATTGCTTAACGGTTAGATGTGGTGATCTCAAAAGTGACTAAGTCTTACTGTGATTTGTGGTCCAGTTTCTTCCACCAGGCAGGCCAGGATCTCCTCTTCGCTCATCTGCTCCATAGTGTCGGCATCGTATGCCATCGTCATGGACACCTCTTCCATCATGTTGCCTCAATGTGCAGGCGCCGCTAACACTCACAGTGACAATCACAGCCTTCACAGGTAGAGAGCTTTCAATCACAAATCTAAAACAAATTGAAAATCCTCACACAGCTTTATCTCTTGTGTGAATCAGAGATGTAGAGTGAGTTCAGGAACATGGAGTCGTGTTGTTTTTGCTCGCTATGATGCAGGCGATCCAGCATGTGAGCACGACCAGGAAATAATCAGGATAAAGTCCAAGTCTTCCAGACACAAATAAACTCTGCTTACAGTCCAAAGGTGAAGAATGGTGAGAGAGATACTCCCACAGGTAAAGTGTAGCTACAGACAAGCACCTAATACCGAGCAGACAGAGCCACCTACAGCAGGCGAAGAAGTGTGTGTTACAGGTGTATGGGCAGTAACAGGTTCAACAGGGTTTATATAAGACGTGTGTGTGTGTGTGTGTGTGTGTGTGTGTGTGTGTGTGTGTGTGTGTGTGTGTGTGTGTGTGTGTGTGTGTGTGTGTGTGTGTGTGTGTGTGTGTGTGTGTGTGTGTGTGTGTGGTGTGTGTGTGTGTGTGTGTGTGTGTGTGTGTGTGTGTGTGTGTGAATGAAGGACACACCCACAGTGCTCACCTTTGTTATTATACCTCTCCCTCTTTCTCACACACACACAAACATGATCCTGACCTCTCAAATTATTTATTTTTGATTTATTTGACAATGATGAGTTCCCACAATGCAAATGTGTTGTCGTACTAGTCCACACTCTTCATACTAGCTGGCTCAGAGGCTGTGTGAACCTGCCAGGTAAACACTTCTGGAGTTTAATGACGGAGTTAATCATGTGGTATTTGTGACATTCCACCCTGAGGTGTTGGCATGACACAAAGCTGACGGTCTAGTATTATCATGAGCTGAGCAGCAGAACAAACGGGTCCAGCAGGTAAAGTGATGAAATACCAGCACATGAATGCAGAATAACTAAGCGGATCCCCCCCCCCCCCCTCCTCCATATTCTTAGTTTTACTTTCACAGGTGCAGTTTCTCCTTATTTCTTCCTTAAATCTCTCACTAATTCCCCCTGATGACAGATCAGTTTCATTTCTTTCCAAGTTACACTTCCCTTTCTTCGAGCGTGTAGCTACTTTTCACTTCCGTCTTAGAATTGTACTGAAGTGTTGTTCCCTTGTGGTTTTCCAACACTTCCTGCTACATCTTAGGTGTTTTTTTTTCTTATTTCTAACCAGAAACTGGGATTTCAACATCCCGTGCATCTATTGTATGAGTCACTGTGGGCAAAGACCAAACAGAAAAAAAGTCCAGGCAGATATAAACATTTATTCCTCATTAAAAAAAAAGGAACATCTTGTGAAACGTGGTGGATTTTGTATCAGGGAATACCAAAACTTGTTCTAGTTTCATAGAGAAAAATCTGAAAAATACAATTTTCAACAGTCAGACAAAGAAAAGGGAAAATCTAAATAACACTTTAGTTCTGATACAGCAACGGTGCTCTCAGTGGTAATCACACAACTACAGTAAACCCCCTTTATCAAGATATGGGGACCACATTTGTTGAGTGAGTATATTTGTTAAGTGGCAGTGAACACCAATGCTGGGTGGACGTCTAAATTAACAGAAAAGTATTTTTACATATACTTTATATCTATATAGTTTCGCACAAACCTCTGAATAACAAGGTAAAGTGAGGTGAGGAAAGTAAGGAGTTGTGGTAACAAAGCTCGCAGCTCAGTGAAACAATGTGGTGTTAGAAAATACACATTAAATATATTTTATACATTTCTATCTAATAATCTGTTAAATACCATTGTATTTTTTTAAACAATTCACCACATTTTAATCAATTTGAAGTCCATTTTCTGTTCCAAATGTACATTTCCATTCTCTTCTCGTGTCATTTCTGTCTTGTACTGAGACATTAATAGAGAGAAAAATCAAGATGGCAGAATAACTGAAAAGCATGGAAAACTCACATTTGGTACGAACTCACTAAAACACACTTAAGCCCTGACGTTGCTCACAAACACTACAACACTCCTTAAAAATATATAGATTCAGGCATATACTGTGGAATAACACTGCATATTGTTACTGTACTGTAAAGCAGATATAATGGCTTATAAGATACAAAACGTAAGCTTCAAGATCAACAAAGCATAGTACACGATCCTCTCTGCCACAACACCTATAACATCTGATTTCCTTTTGTTTGTCTCAATCTGTAAACATGAAAAAGGTTAAATACATCCACTTTAATGGAAGACACTGCAGAACCCTTTTAGCAGTCTAGTTTCATTAACCAGGAGTGAAGACACAAGCTAACTGAATTCATACTTTTCTAGTTTCTCCTTCACTTTCCATGTGTTTCCTCTGGAGATAAAGAACACGTAGGCTCCATTAGTAGTTTCTGTGGTTGGCAAACAACACCCAATAGAAAAACTGTTAGCCCTCATGTACAGTAGGGAGGGGGGGGGGGGTTCTCATATTAGCATTGACCCTCTCGGTTAACACCGGCACAGGGAGAGGGGAACAATGGGGAGAATAACAGAAACTAACAAGGCAGGGGTCCTTCTCTGTGTAATGTTATCACACGTAGTTAGACTGTGAAGACCCAGCAGACTGCAGCTAACTCCTATAAATCTCCATTTATATTAAAAAACTATGGCTGGCTCTAAACAATAACAAATACAAATGACAGTCTCGTGCTTTACAGGCAGAGAAGATTTCTGTGGCTAATTCAAGCCACCTTGGCTATTGACTTATAATGCTTATTTATGAAGCTGGATCATCTATCAGTGTGTGAGAAGTTTGTCATTCTGTTAACTGATAATCAATCAATGATTGAGACAGTTTGATGTCAGGGGAACAGGGTCACCTTTTCTATGTTTCTACCTGATGAAGGTATTTGTAAGCTTTTTAACAGACACTATCTTTTTAAATGTCTTAAAGTTTATCAAAATAAAATCAGGCCTTAAACAGCATGCTTCTGAATCATTTGTTAATAATAGCAATTAGAGCAGGAGCAGTAAATTCCACTTCCTTAATAAGGACTTCCTGTCTAAGTATCCCAAAAGATCCATATTATTTGGTATTTATTTTTTGTAAAATTGTTTGGTTGTTGTTAGTCACCGTGTTCAACTTCACTTTTTACACAAATTAATTGATCATAATTTATAACGAGCATAAATGAGAGAAGTTGTTTTAGTAGTAAAACAGCTGAACATGAATAAAAGTGTGAACAGGCATCAAAAAATGTATCATACTCTGTATTAAGAATGAAGTTACTAATAATAAATAGCCTATTCATATTTACTTGCATTTTCACTTTCAAGGTTATTCCCTCCGTTTTCTTTGATAAATACTAAATTAGATCCAGAAACATTTAATTTGGACATCATTGATTTTTTTATCCCAATCATATGGTGCAAAAGTGCAAATTAATTTACATGTTTTTTTTTTGTGTGGAAAGTGTGCAATTTTGAAATGTTAAAATTGTAACCATAAGTCAGTAACATGGCTTAGGGGATCCATAGCACCTACATATGAACATTGACTTGCCTGTGGGGCCCATTGTGTGTTCCCACTAAACTCTATGCATGGTCACACATGTCCCTGACCAGCTTAAAAAGTGTCTTAAATGACGCATCAATCCATGTACCTTTACACTTAAATTGACATTTTATTAACGCGTGTGATTTGGCCTTGTGTGAAACAAAATGAGGTTTTACTAGAGTAATGTACCACTTCCCTGCTGACTTATCTCTGGTTTATACTGCTTACTGAAACTCCCCATGGGCGTTTTACCTCTCTGTCAGTGGACTCAGTTTATGGGTCACCTCCATGGATGAAATATGTGGCAGAAGTGAGCATGTGAAGTAATGTTTGTCATTGTGCTGCATCAAAACCCTCCACAATCCATCCGAGAAAGGTTTTCTATGTGAGTGTACGTTTATGAAGCAGCAGAGGTCAGACATCGGTGCTGTAGGAGCGTGGAGGTGGTGGGGGGGGAGGAAACTCGTCCGTGGGACTGTAGTAGCTCACAGGCGAGGAGCCCTGTGGGTGGGCGGTCAGCGGCAGAGAAACAGACGGGTTCTCGTAGTACGTGTGGAAGCCCAGACGCTCCCCGCCGTTACGCAGGCTGTTAGAGAGTCCAGAGCGCAGGGTGTAGGGGGAACAGGTGGGGCAGTGGTTGTGGTGAGTTCCCGTCTCCAGCTGATCCAGAGACACCGGGGTGATGGCGGCCCCGTCCATGGCGAGGGCGTTGCAGGCATTGCAGGGGAAATGAGAGAGAGGGTCCGCTCCCACCACAGAGCCCACGTCCACCTCAGAACCATTCTTCTTACAGCAGTAATACTGCAGAGGAGAGAGGAGGATTACGTTTGGAATCCCTGCTGTGTTCCTAAACCACAACACATTTCTCATGACAAAATGCTGACCACATTATTTAAAGGTCATCTGTGGATAAAGATTTATACTGAACAGCCCCGCTTTTAAATGACTAAAGCACACACACGCAGGGATACCTGGAGTCTACAGTAACAGAGCACTGCTACGATGCACAGCAGTATCACTCCGGCGAGAATTCCTCCGGATATAACGATAGTTCCCGCTGACATTCGACCAGCTCTCCATCAAACCCTTCAGAGGAAAGCAGTAAAAGGTGGGAGATGTTGGGGGGGGGGGGGGGGGGGGAAATACATGTGAATCAGCTTATTAGACTTCAGGATGTTGATGGTGCAGGTTCTAGAGATTCAACTCAATTTTACTGCAGAATAATCTGCATACAACAGGTTTCTATAATGCCCGCAAAGATACCCCATGTAGGCTGAATACGTCTGATGTAACATGTTGTAAGTACAGTAGATGGTTATCATGCCGTTATCAGACAGCTCAAGGCCTCGGGATGGATGATAAATGAAAGTGGAAAACAACCGTGAACCTACAAAACAGCTTCAGTGATCTCTGACACAGTCTGTGAAACTCTACTCCACCCATCCATGATGTGGTGTTTTCATGATGACAGAGCGATATGATGGGATGGGCACAACCATTTCTATTATCATATCATCCAATCATGATTATGCAAGATTGCTGATAGACGGCTTGGCTCAGCGTCTTGAGAAATTCTAGAACAATAAACGTAGCATCCTGCAAGCAAATCAGCTCAAGTTACAAACATGTATATTAAAGAGAACATGTTATGCTCATGTTTGTATGTTGTGACTCTGCTATGATATGTTGACATGCTTTATTGTTCTCATACTACCTGTGCTGCAGCACCTCTTTTCACCCTCAGAAGTCAGAGCCCAGTCTGCTCTGATTGGTTAGCTTTATCCTTATGGCTAACATATGTTGTTTTTATTACATGAGCTGAGTGTAAGAGCCATTTGACACGTAGTAGTATCAGTAACAGCTGATCTCGATGATATAGGACGCACACTTACATTAGAAGACAGCGGGAGGTGCAGAGATGGAGGAGTGTGAGAAGATAGGAAACCATGTCAGCCTGAGCGGTGTTCCTCTCGTAACATCCTCTCACTGGAACTCCTGCAGGAAAAGAAGAAGCTTCTGTCAAGAGAGAAGTAAAGAAGTCAAGTCAAAGTCAACTTGATTGTCAATCGTTCAGTTTGTGTGTACAGACAGAGAGATCGAAATACCGTTTCCCACAATCCCGAATACAAATATATATAAAAATATGTATACAAATATGTATATCCTATAGATACACAATCAGCAGACACATTTATACATATGCACACATTAAAGGTGGGGTAGGTAAGTTTGAGAAACCGGCTCGAGATACACTTTTTGTTATATTCCATGGAATGCTCTTAACATCCCGATAGCAATGAATATCTTAAGTGCTTTGACAAGAAATCCATAAAAAAATGTCATCTGTGGAAGCCGTAGAGCTGTAAAAAGCACGACCAATCATTTTAGCCGGCCCTGCTAAAATAACTGGACGGCCTACCTGCCTGTCAGCCTTCCATCTGGGCACAAGCTTATCTCGTGCCCTCATTGGTCATGTGCGCGTTCGTGTGTGTTGGAGGAGGGGCTCTGTGAGGAAGTGGCAGATTTTCTCCGGTTGTGTATTTTCAAATTCTAGCGATCTCGAGCCGGTTTCTCAAACTTACCTACCCCACCTTTAAGACATACATACAAGTACAACAATCAATATAAATAACAGTCACTTCAATATCTTTGGTTTAAAGGGCTGCTGATTATTTTCATACACACAAATCATTCCTTTACAGAAACTGTACTATCCACTTTATTTGATATAAACCCAGTGTGTCATTGATCTTAATTTGATTTCAGCTAAAACGCTCATATAAAAAGTGAAGAATAACCAGTGATTTAATCCATTGACTGTCAGCTTTAATTAAGAGACATACTTCAAACTGCTTATTGCTTTTGATCAATGGTCTTAAATCCCAGAAGCATTCAATTTGCTAGGATATATGAAAGAGCTGAGCAGGATTCTCACACTTAAGAAGCTGGAACCATACTAATAACCTCATAAAATGTTACATCCAGGGTTTCATACGGTATGGCATCTGGTAATACAACTAAATCGATCCATATAGGCATCAATTATACATCATAAATTCACTACAAGAATCTTAAAAGCAGCTGCAAAGTGTGACTAAATTCCATTTTGGATGGCAAACAGACAGCCAGGATGCAGCAGCAGCTACTGTGCACACTCGCCATATGGCCGGTATAATGTGTGCATATGTGCAGCGCATATTCAGCATACTCAATCTGGTTAGTACGTGCATCTGCTGCCATTTGTGGTTGACTGTGACAGATTCAAAAGCAGCTTTCAAAGTTGCATGGATAATTATCATCACAATTGATCTCTTGGATTCGATACTGATAGGGCAATTAAACAAAACCGTAAAGATGTATTTACTCAAAACTTACATGCAACTTGTGTTGATGAGTAGTGAGAACATAAGATGTCTGACAGACTTAGCTTGGATACTAAGCCAGAGTAAATACAAGAAAAGATGCCTGCAGAAACAATGTTTTTTAATTCTGCCAGTGTTTGCTGTGCACCACAGGTAAATAGCTCTTATTGGCAGAGTCACACAGGAGCAGAAACGGTGTAAATGAAACAAAGTCAACCGTCTGCAAACATAATTATCTCTATTGCACTCAGCAAATGTAGTGTCTAGCCTCAAATAGACCCTATCAACAGGTCTATCTCACAGAAAGCAATACATTAGCAGTGTGACAGAAAATACGTGTGCCTTGAATAAACCCTCCACCAGAATATGAATGCACCAGGAGAGAAATACTACATATATCAGTATAAAATACATGATTTTGACCTTAATTTAGACACATTTATATGGTTGAGCTCAGGCAGAATTATTCATTTTAAGCACTGCCATTATAGTAATTACAACTCTCGACGCCTGTGTTTATCTACTGTTCAAGTTGATTAACTAAAACATCCAGTTATTTCTCAAGAACAACATTTTAATCACCTCAATTAAAATGATAAAAAAAAATAACAAGCTTCTTTCTCATTACTAGTGTATCAATGTAATTTCGCAAAAGCTGCGAGGTTCCTTAGGCTGTAATTTGCAGTTAATTTTAGTCTTACTGTCTAATGAAATGGTTTAAATATAGTGGCACATTTTTTGTTTTGACGTAATTGCAAAATCTCAGCCTGAAGGTTGAAACAAATGCTGCTTTCGGGATGAATGGTTTGTTCTGGTTTTGTTCCCCAGCTTGGCTACAGTCAAAACCAACCAGAGGTTTCTTTGTTGTGTGTCTCTTTCGTTTCTCAATCAAACTAAACACAAAGTAAGTGGGGCGTGGCCCTTCAAAACGCTATTAAGATAAGGTCGGTGTAAGGTTTTCCAGTGAATGCACATGCATCTCAGACAGAGTTATCGCAGAGAGAAGTGTGTGTGTGAAACGAGCATGTGAGCCACTCTCTCTCGGTGCAGTATCTTCCATTACGTCACCGTACTAAATTATACACACCACGGGCCACGATAATGTCGTTAAAAGCGATGTGAAGTCACTCTTGCCCCCCATTTCATCTCTCCATCTCTAGCTCACTATCTTGTGTCTCTTCAGTCCTCTTATTGCCTCGTCTCTCCTTTACTCTGCCAATATCCCTTTCACTCTTTTTGCCATATCCTCTTCTTTCACCGCACTGAACATCATTTCAATTCCCTTTCATGACATGAAAACATGAAGCCACTTTGGCAAATGTATGCATACAAACGCTGATCCTTATCAACACAGACAAAGCAATCTCAATCTCTTCTCTAGGACCAGAAATAAAGGTGACTTTGAATAACATGCAACCAAGTGAAGCTGCAAAGGGAACGTTGGGGTAAAGCTACGGATTATAGAGAGTTACCAACAGACTGGAAAGACAGAAACGCCAAGCGACAGAGGTCTGGAGACGAAACCCTAACGCTGTCAGAGTATCTTAACCAACCCAGTTCATATCTGACTCAGTGGGTTCAGAGCTGTCCGAAAACAAACGCATGCACAACTCTTCAACCGCAAAACCACACTGTGGCCTGAGAGGAGTTAGAGGATCTGCCGTAAATCCCTGTCAGATGCCGACTTGGAAAAGTGACGGGTTGAAGGCAGTCTCAGAGGAGGGATACGATTTCTACAACACAAAAACTCCTCCAAGTGATTAAGAGTTCTCCTCCCAGGTGGCCAGCAGACTCTGGTTAGAGAGCGTCTGACAGTGAGCTCTAGCAACAGTGAGGAAAGGACATGTACAAGAGAAAAGGCTGAAGGAAATGTGCATCCATGAGATTTGCAGGGATTTTCATTCAAACACAAAAGCAATGCTCACTGGTTTGTTGAAAGAGAGTGGCTCTGTGGGTGGAGGTAATTGGTGCCATTACAGAAGATGAACATGTGCATTGGAAAACATATTGTTCTTTCATAAAAGCTTAAGAGGATCAGTAAACTACAACTCTTGAATGGTGAAAATCGTCCAATAACCTATAGCTTAGATTTCTGCTGCATGCACTTAGTAGTTTTGGTTACATCATTCCTCTCCATAGCAATGGTAGCTGAAGCGTTTTTGTCACAGTAAACACAAACTGAATGAAATGAATGTATCATTTAGTCAAAAGCAACTATTTAGATAGCTACTGATTCAAACTCTTGAATGGTGAAAATCAGCCAATCAGTCGTTTTGGTTAAATCATTCCTCTCCATAGCAATGGTAGCTAAAGCGTTTTTGTTACAGTAGCCCACACACTGAATGAAATGAATGAATCATTTAGTCAAACTAAAAGTTCATTGGAAACTATTTATAAAGCTACTTCATTTTAGAATGTTTTTCATCCTCTGGTTCCAGCTTCTCAGAAGTAAGTCTTTGATGCTTTTCCTACTCGAATGAAAGCAAATTGAATACTTTTGAGGTTTGTACTGTTGAACATAAAATAAGCAACATGAATGTCACCTTGGGGTTTTAGTAAATGTAAAAAAAGGAGAAACATCATTGACATAAGTAATCACTAGTTGCAGCCCTTTTTCATTGTGTTTAGAGCTATTCGCCATGACAAGCTGGTGGAAGAAATGGGTCTGAAAATAATTATATCTTGTGGCATAAACACAATAACGTAAACCTACAGGAGACTTCTCTGTTTCTATCTTGAAGAATATTGAGGAAATCTCGATGTGATAAATATTGTGATTATATCCACCCGGACACAACTCAAATACAAACAGTTGTGCTTTTTCTGTGTGCTCTTCACTCTCTTTCATACACAAAACGTACTAAAAAGTGGTGTCATGATTTCATTGTTCGAGCTACCACAACATCATTCAGTTCCAACCTTTATCATGTTGGAAATGTTGAGAGAGGTGGAGAGGATTCACACTCCACTCGCAGAACTATACTTAGCATTTCTGTCATCTCTTGACACGGGGAAAGCAGGAGATGAGAGGCAGCTGAGAGAGGTGTCATATTTTAATTAGTTTTCTCTGTGGGAAATGAAACAATTCTAGCAGTCAGCTAAATGCGAGCGCACAGAAACAGACAAAGGCGTGTGTGGGTGAACAACGGGCTCAAACACACCCACACATCCAACATTCACAATTACACATCCAAAATATCCCTAATCAAAGGTAAAACAAAACTTCTATTTAAAAGGTTCACGTGGGATGATGTGGGGTGATGATTTCGTTTTTTGGAATTAAGAGCTTTGTTCTCCCATTCCAGGAAAAAGCAGGAGGCTTTGGAAATAAAACTTAATCAAAAAGCCAACTATATCTAAGGTATGAAAAATAAGGAATAATTCAACTTTTAGGGAAAACATGCTTAATTGCTTTATTGTTGAGAGTTAGATGATAAGATTGATACCATTCATATCTTTCCGTTTGATATAAAGCTGACGCAAGCACTTACTGAAAACGTCTGTGTCAAAGTTAACACAATATTCCTACTACCATCATCATTTAATGTGGGTTAGGGTTATTCACCTTTCTTAGTTCAGGTACATGGACATCTCAGACTTTTCATCGCTCTGAGGCTGCCTGGACAAAAGATCACACCCCAAAACACCAGATTGACTAAACGTTTTGTTTCCAATCTTTATTCTGAGCTAATAATAATAATGCATTTTATTTATATAGGCCTTTCAATGCTCTCAAGGTTTTCTTTGACTCCAGCTTTGTCCTATAATAATGAAACATGGCCATCATAAGTGGCGTTTTAAAGTGTTTTGTTTGTCTTCGCTACCGTTTCCATTGACAAACCATTAACAACGCTATAAAACAGAGAACTAAAGAAACCTAGAGAACCTGCACCAGCAAATATTTGGCATTTTCTTGATAAAGGCCTTTAAAGATGAACTGGCAACTATTCTGTCAATCAGCTAATTAGGTTATCCATTAGGCAATTTTATTCCCATTATGTTGTAATTTGTTATAAATATTGGAAAGTCTCCTGGAAATCCCTCTGGCGTGTTAATAGCACTAACAAATAAATGTTGTAAGTGTAACTGCAGATAAATAGAATACAAATAACTTTGTGAGTGTGCAGTAAGATGTATTTAGAGAATCATCTAGGAAGCTGGAACTCATTATAAGCTGCAAAAAGACATTAGGTAGAGACAGAGTCATTATGCGGATGAGTTTTAATCCGTTTTCATAGGGAAGGAATAGAGAAGCTGGGAGCTGATTTTACAACAGGAGATGGATGGGAAACAGGGAGGTAGAGTGGGAGATGGGGAGATGGGGGAGAGGGTGGCAGTACCTGAGCGGCTCCTGGATGTGTCTCCATTCTTAAATAATGATATGAATATTTCGTTGGAGTGGCCCTAACTTTGAGCTGGAAATCACAGTGTGTCCTTGCAATTTTAAAGCCTTGGCTCTTCAATTATTCAAGTATCATTCCTTTAACAATATTTTTCCATCACAGGGCAATTTAGCCAGGTAGTAAAAATGAGACTTTTCTGCCTCGTCTGCCTCTGAAAGCACTCATCTCAGCGTGTGAGGAGAGGAACACATCCACATCTAGGACAGAAACACCCGCTGCTCGAGCAGGAGGGAACAAAGACAGCAAGAAGTGAGAGGCAAAAGGGGGGGGGGGGAGGAAAAGTGGATGATTTCATTTTCAAATAGTATAAACGGGATTCAGTCATCCGTTTCTTCCTTATGACTGACAACGCACACACATGCCCTGTCTCCTCGTGTCATAATTACCTCCTTTATTCTGGATGATTTATGGTCGGATACGTGAGAAACTCGATTTGTGGAGCGAGCAGGGGTTACATTCGGTGCAGATAATGCCAAAAAGAAGGGAGAAACCACTGAAATCTAAATGAGCTGCAGAGATCCCAGTGGAGAATATAAGAGTTGAGACTAAAGTGAATACTTTCAGCTACACAGTTTGCCCAGAGCAATATCCCTGAGGTGAGATCAGAGACACGATGAGCAACCTGTCTGGCAAACAGTGTGGGAGAATAGAGAGAGATGATACAAATAAGCAAGCGCAACACTTACCTGTAGAAGTCACCATCTGGGGGATAACATCCTCGAATGTGCTGCAAAGCCCCCTGGGAAAACGAAAAAAAAAAGACATGACATCAGTTGTAACCGTGATGCCTGGAGACGCCAGAGGGGATGTGGTCAGCTGCAGCTACAGTCAATTAGCCTTTATTTTGATATCATAAACTCATTCATTCAGTCATTCAGTAAAGCCATTATATCTCTCATTGCTCCTTATACTTTTCAGTCAGTGACCATTAAAAAAAGGTTATCTATAGTTGCATTTAACACAATACAGTTTATCCAATTTTAACACAGACATTTGAAAATGTAAATCAGTATAAAAGCAGCCATACAAATAATGCAAGATAGTACCGATATTATATGAATCCTCACAAACTCTAAAATGTTATTTTTTAAATATTTTATTTATTCTATTTTTCTCTTTAAGCATCATGAAAACCTTACTGTGAATTGGATTTCTATGAATAAAGTACTGAAGATAAAACCATCTCAAGTCGATTTACTCACCTGTCCAGATTGTGTTACCAATTCAGGATCGGTGCAAGCAATGTGAAACTACAATATGATCGACCGATTAAAATTAGAGTGAATACTTTTGTCATATAAACATAGCTAATGTTTCAACTGGCTTGAGGTAAATCCAGCATCTGTTGCATCACTGATTAGCATCATTCACACTCAATTAAAGCGGATCAATTGATACGCAGAGCCGTGATGTGTCGCTCAGATTGTAAAGCCTTACCTTTCTGGTTGAAGGAAATCTCAGGAACCTGTTAGAGAACCTTTTTTTCCACAAGTGCGGTTGGTTCCGCACACAATGAAGTCCGGTGGTATCCTCTCCAGCACCGGTCATTAAAGACGCTCGGAGCCCCCCTGCGCTCGCTCTACAACCGGAACCATCGCGTCATTATCCGCCGTCGGTTATCCCCTCTTTCCCCCCGGTTCACTCACAACCAGGTGCCAGTGAGGGCCTATGGGAAATCTCATGGCATCCTCCTCCTCTTCTGTGAAGCGCTGGGGACGGATGAGTCGAGGCGGCAGTCCGGCTGCAGAGTGGCACGGCTCGGCATGGCTGGCTCCCGGGGGGCGGTGTGGCCCCCGCTGTCGCCGGTCCCGGTGGGGCGGGGTGGGAAAAGCAGCGGTGTGAGCGACAGTGACAGCCTAACACCGTGTGATATCACTTTACCGGGAGGGTGGGAGGGGATGGTGATGGTGTGGATGGTGTGTGGACACGGGGGGTCGTCACCATCCGGAGATGAAAGCGTAAAGCTGATGGTATAACACACTCGGTAGTTTGAATAGTGGTGCCTTTGTTGAAGGAAATGTCCATATTTACATCCAAAGCCTTGATCTCTTTAAAGTTAAACTATTCCTTGGCTCTGCAATCCTTACGTGGAACGAGCAACCTGTCTCAGTAAGTTTTATAAGTCTTAGAGAGGAGGTAATTCTCAGTCTGCCAACCAAATTAATGTAAATCACTTTATTTCATGCGTTTTTGAGATACCTTTACAGAACAAAATACCAGTAAAGGTAAGAACTAGTGGATAATGGAGAAGTTTAAGGAGGCTAAAAACTCATATAAGAAGCTTTTTAAAAATACGAAGTTAATTAAAGATACGACTCCCAATCCCAATGTGTATAGGTACTTCAAGTTACCAACTCAAATACAAGTTAAAAGTTCATATTAGAAAATAGAAATCTAAGCAAAGTCAAAGCCACTGAGAACCAGGCTCTCTGTTGAAGGAATGCCCACATCTCACACTTCAAGGTATTGCAAAAAACAAAACAAATATGCCTTTCTCTGCTTATTCTAAACATAACACTCTTTATAGTAATACGTCTTATTTATTGATGTGTGTTTGTTGTCAGATGCTCTTTAGATCAGTTTTCAGCCATGGTTTAGGTTGCCATATGTTTACATTTCTCCGACAGATGTTTAACGTGCACTTCATCGTTTAGGGTTTTGAGCTAACCTCTGACCTTTTAAGAAAAAGGTTGAGGGGCATTTATATTAACATTTACTACTGTAGACTTTAAAGACAGTAAGCCCTTTTTTCCACTAAGTATTAAATATATACAATTCTAGATGCCACTTTTTCGATGGCATACTGTGATTGGTTAGCCACAAAGATATGTACCGCCCCTTAGCCTATCATTTACAATGTGTTGGATATAAGCCAATAGATGGGCAAGTGTTGCATAGTGATGTCACTCTAAAACACACAGATCTGTGTCTCTATAAGATAAGGTCTATCTACGGCAGGGGTATCAAACTCAAATACACAGTGGGCCAAAATTAAAAAATCGGTACTAGTCGAGGGCCGGATTGGTTCAATGTGTATTGCGAAACTTATTGAAATGAACTTATTGCACATATTAAATCTGGAACTAACAAAGCTTAAATGATTGCCTATAAAAACAACATTAAACATTAAATAATCAGTTGCATTCATTTCTTAAGGCTCTATCTGCAGATTATCCGGAGTCATTTCTTATGATTACATTTCTCCACAGGCCAACAACAGCTTCAAAAAAACAATTCCCCTCAAAGAAAAAAACAAACATGCCCTGTTGTCGCAAGAAAAAAAGTGCAGAAGGAAACATCCATGTATACTCAGTTTGCTGCTCTGTGATGCTAGTTCAAGCCAGATACTTAACATCTCATCTTGGGTGCAAGTTCATCAATGTTTGGGGTCAGGCTCTGAGCTGAGGAAACCCTCAGGATTGAGTGAAGGTGTGCGTGCAATATACCGGCGGGCAAGATCTAATAGTAATACAAAATTATCCTGCGGGCCGAAATTAAATCCACCAAGGGCCTGATTTGGCCCCCGGGCCTTGAGTTTGACACATATGATCTACGGCAGGTCTGAAATGAAAACAGTGTGGGTGATTGCAGCTGCTGTCCATGGTGCTGAAGCTCACTTGAGAAAAGGGCAAACACAAGAGCACTCATCACCTTACCTCAGATTCATGTAACTAAAAGATTATTTCCCCAATCATTGCAACATTATATCTTCATCTTTCTAATTCCCTCGAGCAGCTGGAGCCAACCTTCTCAAACTGCTCATGCAAACAAGATCCATCTCGACCATAATACCCATATAATGAGGAGATTAATCCTGGCTACATTTGTTTAAGTATAATCTTGATCCAGAAAAAAGGGTTCATGTGTTTCGCATTTCTCTGCCTCTGAGTGTCTCCGGCTAAATTAAGCTAGCTTCGTAGCAGGGGGCTGATGAAGGCAGGCCTGTGGGGAGTTCTGAGATTACCGCTCAAATTGAATAAAGGAGTCGACACATTACAGCAGCTTAGAGGATACACCCCACTGCACTGGTTCATTTAAAACCAGTACGATGTAATACACGCCACACAGAAACACACATCAAGCACACAAACAACATCCCTAAATCTGGCAAGCCCCTCTCTTTAACGCCATCTTTTCCTTTACCTTTCCTCTGGGCTACGCATAAACACAAGCACACACATGCACGCACACACACAACGACTCACAAGCACTCAGCATGGCCCCTGTCTCATGACTCGAGTTCATTATTGCCTTGGCAGGGTTCCTCAGATGAAATTAGGATGACAACAGGAATGACACAGAGTGCAGCAGTGGAAAGTTTACACAGGGTGAAGTTGAGAGTCTGTGTGTGCGCGCTGAACAAATCTAATCTGCTCTGATTCATGGCCAGGCTTGTCTGCATGCATTTGTGATACACTTCCTCTTTGCGTATGTACTCAGTCTAAGATATGGAGACGGAGAGCGAATGAGAGAATGGCTTCTGACAGGAGAACACAGCTTGAGCACTCGTTCCTGGGACAAAGTCACAGTGCCCCTCCTTTAGCAGAACCACCAGCCAGTGTTGGCAGCGCATGCTTAGCTCATTTACTCGCAAAACTACTTGTGACAGAGTTCAATACTCCAAAGGCTGAATTATGAACTCCTGAGCCAAACAAGTGCTAAGACACTGCTGCTTTGTTACACAGGGAGACAATGGGGGAAGGAGAACATCTAATTATCCTCAAAAGAACAGATACCAGCAGGGCATGTATGGATGAGCCATGCATTGTTTTTTTTCTATTTTTGTTACAAATGGAGAACGTTTTTATTAGACCAATATATCTCATAAAGTATTGGATGGATTGCCATGACATTTTGTACCTATAATTCGTGTTTCCAGGAGGATAGATGCTACCAACTTTGATAATCCCCTGAAGTTGGATGCAAGTAAATGTTTCTCAATTAAACATTTTATTTTTCCAATGCCAAAACATTAACTAATCACCAATCATTTGCAACTGTACTTCAGTACTGCTACAAAGTTAACATCCAAGTATTACCATTGTCAATGTGAGCATGTTAGCCTGCTGACTTTAGCATTTTGTTTAAAGTATTAATTTAAGTAGCCTCAGACTGTAGCATGGCCCCATAGTTTCTTTGTAAATGCAGAAAGAGCAATCAAATATATAATGCAGGTTATTAATTATTGGGGGCTAGAGTTTTATAAAGGAAATCTATTTACTTAAAATAACTATTGCTGAAACAGAAGGTGGTCAAAATAGCTCCAGATATTTTATTGCCAGCAACAGACAAACTTAACTGCTGCAGTATGGCAGGAAAGAGAATATAGCTACAGTAAATCTTGGTATACTAGTGAAAACAACAAGCTGAATTATTCCTCAATAAACCCTTTGTTGTATACAGCGCTTCTACAGAAGGAGGATTAAAATCATGGAAATATCACTTCAACTCTGAAGTAACAAACTGAAGATGAATGTCAGATTTGCATCAAGTTTGAAAGCTCTTTAACAGCCACTCAAAAAGGCAAAATAATCATTAAAAAGTACTATGTGACTTTATATATAAAGTCACTAAAATAGCTTAGTGCCTTCTATGGCCTCACAGCTCACCAGATTGAAACATCAAAAAAACTCTTAGGGATATTCTGAAGTGAAGAAATGTTCTTAGACCTTCAAAGGAATGCACGTTTCCTCTTTGACGATGTTTGTAGTACAAACAGGAGAAATGAACAGGCAGTGCAAGGAGGACTAAACGTGTCTCTATTCCTTCACAGAATCCATTTTGTCAATCAAAACTGCAGTATTTGTTTTTGTTTTGGGTGTACTGCAAGCCAAGTGTCCTCTCTTTAATATCCTGTATTCTCCACAGAGGAGATTAAGGCAGCCGATCAACCATGGAGGCACCGCAGCTCAGATCACACTAAACTGAAAGCTAATTAAATTGGGTTGTCATCACCAGGAAAGCTCGGTGGGACTGTACACTACTGCAAATTGCTATCATATACCCAGAACTTGTCAAGTGAATTCCTCCTTGTATCATTAAGAGTAACACCGCCATCCATCCCACCACAGGTTTGACTTCTTTTTAGCTGGGCTCCCTTTAATGTTTCTCTTAATATTTTACTGTGTCATTAAGGCGCGAAAAGCACATTATAAACCCATTTCTATACTTTTGTTTGTTACTGTGCACTAATAACTCACCGCATCTTCTTTTAATACATCTCTCACAGGAAAATAGCTACATTTAAAAAGGTCATCCTCGGCTAACGTTATTTACAGATTTTACCCCCTGAAGCAGACTTCAGGTGAAACCAAAGTTATAAATCATAAAGGCTACACAGTGTTTTTTCTGTCCGTTTCCAGCTGTAACACAAAAGCAAGATATGTCCAAAGTATGTTATCATTCTTAACCACATACAGAGGTGAACTCAGATACTCTACTTAAAGGTGGGGTAGGTCATTTTGGAGAAACCAGCTCGAGTGCGCTAGAATTTGAAAATACACAGCCGGAAAAAATCTGCCAC